ATAATATAACAGAGTAGACTATGCCATGAATCAGTAGTCATAAATATTATATTGTGCATGTTCTATTGCACGTCAAGTGTACGTATGACAAGATAGGTATGGGTTAGTTACCTACATGTCATTGTTTTAATAAAAAGATGCAACAACACAGATTTCATAGGACACAGGCTATACATTTTCACAAATCCAATTTTTTTTTCTTCTTAGGATGTTTTCCTAAATAAACCAAACCTATAATACAACAGTGATATTTAAGTGTGATAAATACTCATGCACAAACAGATGAGACTACCTAAGATCTAGTATGTGAAAATATACTGCTGCACAAGCCAGCCGCTAAGTACAGGTGGGGGGTGTTCGGCTACACGACATGAAAAAAAAAAAAAAAAAAAAAAAAAGGCACGTGGATTTCAAAGGAGTTTAACATGAGTACACACACGTTATCTGACAACTGCCTGGAAATTGTTCCCATCTTCCTCGATGACAGAATCAACAGTTACAAAACAGACGATCACATGCAACCACACGATAAGGTCCCACACTCCGTTCTAAACAAAATCCAGATCTTCACACATTTTACATTACAAGCCTTTTTCATTCGGTCTTTCCCTCAATTAGTTCCACAAGAAGAAGAAGAAGAAGAAGAAGAGGGCTCCTGATCCCCTCTGTCGGTTTTCGGGCGTTTAACTCAATGAAGGATGAGGATGAGCCGAGTCCTACGAATACTAGAAATTATTAAAGATAATTAATGGGTGCATATTATAAACTACAAATGGGAGAGCAGGGGCTGGCCCACGTTGCTCTGAGGGCAAATGTCATGTTCGCTGCCCTGGACTGAGGGGCATGTTCATGGGATGCAGGGAGCCTCCGGGAAGCTCTCACCCTCGGCAGTGTGCTGAACCGTGTGCTCCTGCAGGGCTGTGAGGTCAACAAAACGCTCGCCACACCACACACACTTAAACTGTGTCTCCCGCGAGTGCACGCTCTGGTGCTTGGCAAGGTGCTCGCGTTGCTTGAAGCTCTTGTCGCAGCTGGCACACTTGAAAGGCTTCTCTCCTGTGTGAACTCTGCGATGGCGCTGCAGCTCTGACGAGTACCTAAAGCGCTTTTCACAATCAGGACATTTCAGCGGCTTCTCTCGGGTCGGGTCGCAGCGGTGCTGGACGAACTCGGAGGACGACACAAAGCGCTTGTCACACAGAGAGCATTTCAGCGGCTTCTCTGTGCAGTGAGAGTTCTGGTGGCGCTGCAGCGTTGAATTCTTTTTGTAACCTTTGCCACACACGTCGCACTTGTAGGGCTTCTCCACTTCCCCGCCACATTTGTGCCTCAGCAGCTCTCCTGATTGGCTGAAAGACTTCTGGCAGGATGCACATTTAAAAAGACTTTCCATACCGTGAACCTGCTGGTGGTAGAGCAGGTGGGATGGCTGCAGGAATCCCTTATCGCACAGGTTACACTTGAAAGGGCGATCAGCTGGATTTTTGTGAGTGCGACGGTGGCGTACGAGCGCGTACTGCTGTTTGAAGCTCATCTGGCACTCCTCGCACTGGAAAGGCCGCTCCTCTGAGTGGGTGCGTTCGTGCTGCCGCAGGTCAGACGGGCGCTTGAAACTCTTTCCACACGAACCGCAGCGGAAAGGCCTCTCCCCCTCAGGCTGGCATTGATGGTGCAGGAGCTCGGACGACTCCTTAAAGTGCATCTCACACAAATTGCACTTGAACAGGTGTTCGCCCGAATGAGCGTACATGTGCCGCACAAGGTGAGAGCGATGCTTAAAGCTCTTCTCGCAAACGGCGCATTTGTACGGCCGCTCAGAGCTGTGTGTGCGCTGGTGGTGCGCCAGATGAGAAGACTGGCTGAAGCTTTTGTCACACGTGTCACATTTATACGGCTTTTCACCGGTGTGTACTCGCTCGTGGCGGGTCAGCTCTGACAAATGCCGGAAGGCCTTGTGGCACACTGAGCACTTATACGGCCTGTCGGGTGAAGAGGCCTCAAACGCAGGCGGAGACGAGGCACTGATCGCTGCACCGCCACCGGACGTCTCACCGGTGGAGGGCTGCTGGGGGTTGGCAGCTGATGAGGTCGGAGTGACGTTTCCGGAGCCGGGCCGGTAGGTTTTCTCACAGATCGAGCACTTCATCGGGTTGTTTCCGTTGCCGTGCGAGTTGTGATGCTGAGCCAAGGAGGTGAGCAGCGAGAAGCCCATTTTACACACACCACACACAAAAGGCTTCTGCTCCACCTGCACACACTGATGCTCCAGCAGGTCCGTCGCCTGGCTGAAGATCTTCATGCACTGGGTACACTGGAAGGACCGGTCCTGGTTCACCATGCACTGGTGCTCATGAGGGTTGGCCAGGTGAGATATGTCGTGACCGCAGGCGCCACACTTGTGCCCTCTCTCGCCTCCCACCTGCAGGGAGGGCTGCTGGGCTTGAACAGAGTGCTGCTGGCCGTGCTGCGGCTGCTGCAGCGAGGCATCGGGCTGCAGGACGACTCCGTACACTGTGCAGCCCAGGGGGTTGTCGGCGCCCTGGGGGAGCGTGTGCACTACAGAGGGTGGAGCCACTGCATGCTGCTGCTGCCAGGCCTCCGTCATCGTTCCACTTCGCATGCAGGGATTCAGTGCTCGGGAGAAGAGGAGGGTTCAGCTCCAGACTGAAGGGTGGAGGTGGTTTTAATGCTAAGGAGCCGAATGCTATTTCTGCATTTACACACCTCGGACACGGATGAGGAAATCTGGAGGGAAATAAAAAAAACTGTAACGTAAACAACATTAAATAAATACATCAAGCCGATGAAACATTTCAACGAGTGATTACAAAGAGAAGCAGGACGCTGACTTGACAGTTTCCAACATGATCTATTATTATAAAATATATATATTATAAACAGCAATGTGAGGGAAAGTGGATCCAGAATAAAGACAGATGTCAGGAAACACTGAAATAGATCAATGGAGGAAAGAGAAGATCAATCGAACTCTGATGATCAGTGAGAAATTAAACTCTGACGATTAGTTTCTTGTCTCGGTGTAAGTTTGATTGGCTGGAGGTTTGGACTGAGCTTCCTCTGATTCAAAGCTTAAGACATGTTTCCACCTCAGATTATTAGTTGTCATGTTATATGTGTTTTATATTTGTCAAGCACTGTGCAACTTTAAAAGTTATATACAAAGACCATCTGAATATCATTAGGCGCTTGGCAGTAAAATAATCAGTCACAAATAGATTTTGAAGCCAAAGACAGTTTTACTTTGTTTAGGTTCGAGCTGAATGAACCTGAATGAATCTGAGCAGTTGTTTGTTGGTGAGATGAAATGTGAAATGTGAAATGTGAGATTTGAGGACGTCGCCACACATTCACTCGTTTGTTCACTGACTCGGGAACAAGTGAATCCTCCGCAGATTGTTCACCGATAAACGACGAGTCCTGGAGTGAAAGCAGAGATTCTCCGGAGCTCGAGGTGTTTCTACAAATCCACAGAGCAGCAGAACCCGATGTGGCTCCTGGAGATAGACGGTGACATGTTCACAGGACGTTTCCCTGAGACAGAAACATTCACTGTTTCAGACCCAGAAGTGGGCTCGGTCTATTTCCTGAAACGCACGTCAGTGTGTAGTGGTCGTATTTCTGAGGGAAACGTGTATTTTGAGGTCAGACGATGGAAACGAGTCTGTGATAGACGGACCCGAGTGTCCGCGGCTGCTCGGGTTTCCACTCGAGGTGAAAACGAGTTTTCTACACGAACTGTTTCGGTTTCAGGACGCAGCGGCTAACAGACGTTAGCTCGTCGGCTAGCGGCTAAAGCTAACGTTCCCAAACACCCGGAGCTCCTCTGGTCGTCCTCCGTCTTTCTCTCCGGTGAACCGACGTGAGCAGCGGCTGCTTCCGTGAGACCAAACTGCTCATCGATACCCAGACGGAGGCGCAGGAGGCCGGGGCGACGGCAGCTTCCAGGCCGCGTCGCCTCGGTAGAAAAGCCGCTTACTGGCTGGATGGAGGCTCGGCGCTGAGCAGGCCTCCCGGAGCTGCGGAGGAACCAGCTCCTGCAGCCGAGCGGCTCCGATCCGAGCCAAACACACGATTCTCCTGAAAGTGAACCATCGAACCCTCTCGGGAACTCACCGAGCTGCGGAGCGACGCCTCTCACTGCCGGCTGCCGCCTGGGGTCGACACCCTTCGGTCTGTGTGGGACTCGGAGGACCGGCGGTGGATGCGCTTGAAGCCGGACGCCATCCCCCTGCAGACGGACGGACACCGGAAACCGCCCCGGAGCGACCCGCCGAGCAGCCGCCGAGCTGCCGCTGCTACAGCTGCTCCATCCCGGAGCGCCACCGAGGACAGAACCGGAGAGAACCGGGAAGAACCGAGAGAAACCGAGTCCGAGAGGAAAGATTGAAACCGGATCAAAGGAGGAAAAGATCTGGTTTTAAAACACTGACAGAGGCAGTTCTCCACTGTGGCTGCAGGGGGCGCTGCTGGCCTCATCAAACTAGTTCAAATACTTCATATATTTTATATATTAGATATTTTCATGTTTAAATAACGACCATGCTCACACATGTATGTTCACCATACACAGTCACTGTCTCTGTTAAATGTAGGAAACTTACCCACAGCTAGAGTTGTTCTGCTGGACGATACGAATTCAAAGTTTTCTTTAATATTTCTCATCTTTTTTGACCTGATACTTTTGCTCTTAAACTTGTAGTATTTCTGTGTTGTGGTTTTTCTACTTTTACTTCAGTAAAAGCTCTGAGTATTTCTCTCACCACTGGTCCTCCTGGTATTTTTCCTCATCTCGCCCGACTCGACCTCGAGCTGTACTGCGCGGTAGCAGTAGTAATTGTAGTAGCATCTGTATAATATAAGTAGTAGTAGTAGTAGTAGTAGTAGTCAAGTAGTAGGTGCAGTTTATGAAGTAGAATAATCAGAGACAGCACTAATAACCACACCAGACTCATTAATTTCAAACATTTCATTATTTTCTCCACATTAACTTTGAAACAACCTCATAAACCAAAGAGTAAGAAAGAGCATGCTCGGGCATGCAATGATGTCACAACATGATGATGCCACTGGGTGCGAAGTATAAAACATACAGTAGCAGAGAGTTTCTTTTTATATCATTCATAAACTCTGGACATTTTCAGGATCCAGTGAGAGTTAAAAGCTAGCGTTTATTTTACACTGCTCTCCGTGTCTCACGTAGCCTCGTGTTGCTGGATAAAAGAGACGAGAGGAAGAAACTCACAAACTGACACCAGATTGAGCAGGCGAAACAAACATGCTGAAAAAAATCTCATCCGGCCCGAAGAGTGTCTGGAAATGACACCGTACAAACCCCGTGTTTCCCTTTTTGACTGGTCCACCAGGGGGAGTGGGAGAGAGACCAAACAGTGCATGCCATTTCAGGGTGAGGAGGAAGGGTTGCATGTAGGGGGGTGGGGGGGGCACCTTCCCTAACGTTGAAGGTTCGTCTCCTCGTCGTCTGCCCACGTGGGGGTTTGATTGGGCCGCGGTTCAAATCAATTTGAGAAGGAAAATGAATAAATACGAGGCACTCAGCATTCTCTCTGTCTTGCAAACTGCAAAAGTAACAAACTTGAATAATAATGACACATACACATATATAGTAGAATTAGTGGTTATAACATAACAGTCTCAAGGCTGTACAAAGGGGCAAGGCTGAATCCTCCTCAGTATGTCAGCAGTAAAATGTGTCTACGTGGTTTTCTCTTTGCGTGCGAATGTGTGCGTTCATGTGGGTCGACATTAAATTTCACTTCACTTCACGATGAATCGGTAGATGTTCCTCGAGGGGTTAGACGCTCGGGTCTTGGCCTGCTTCGCTTGATGGCGTTTGATTTGCGGATCAAACGTGAATCTGATTGGCTCAGATTCCGTGACGTGGTCGGACGTGAAGTAATTTCCAAATCTCCAGCCGACAGGTGCAGTGACAAGAAGTGACAGTCGGGATGAGTGCGCACAAATGAAGACAGAACGGTGATGTTAAAGGGATAGAAAATGCACTTTTTAAAATCCCACACAGCCTCATGCAATGGTTGTGTGTGTTTATGTTTGTAGTGGAAAAATAAGAAAAGAATAATGACGGAGCCCTTTAAAATGGATCTACTCTTGCAGCATAGTTCTGTATGTAGCGCATAGTGCGGAGGGACTGGTGGACTGAGAGGGCAAAGGGTTGAAAGGCAAAGGGGGTAATTGTCAGTGGATGAAGTGTGTGTCATGTTTCTCATGATAACCAGGAAACAAGATATATTCTTATCTAAAGCGGTGGGAAAAGAAAACAGATGCCTGTGCCATCTCCAGTCCCTTTATGTGATGGACACCCATGCATGTGGTCCTGGTGCACCACGCTCGTCTGAAGCTGCACTTTACCTTCTTCAACCAATAACCCGTCTCTATGGTTACAAGCTCAAAACAAGCATTTGAAAAGGAAGAGTTCTCAGAGAAACTGAAACTGGTGTTGACAGAGGTGAAGAGTCCGGTAGCAACAGTAGAAAGGCTCTGATGTGTCCGTCACTCAGGCTGCGGGCTCCAGTCGAATCGGCAAAATGTCCGTCCCAGTAAGTAATAATATAATATACCGTATTTATCAATAAGTCTTAGTAGATCATACCTGTATAAGCTTAAATAAAGAAGTGAATGAAAAGAATGGCTACTCCAATATTGAGTAAAATGACCATAACCACCAGAATAGAGCTGGAGCCCTGAGAGAGAGAGAGAGAGGGAGAGAGAGAGAGAGAGAGCAGTTACTACACAACACAAACCAGAAACACACACTTCACCATGACGATGACAAATAAGTGATCAAGTATCTGCTGCAGCTTCATGGGATCGTTCAGTAAGTGACACACAAACAACCATGGATTCATGGGTCACATGTCCAGGGCCCAGGAGCCAATGGGGGCCCCTCGCTAAAGATTTATTATTATTCCCACAGTTCTTTTTGTGTATATTACAATCTGGGCTCCATTATTTCTGATGTGGACAATGTTGTTCACTTGCATTTGATTTGATGGTCGTCGCTACTTGTTTCAGATTTTATTTACACAGAAAGAGAGAGAGAGAGAGAGAGAGAACAGCGGAGAGAGAACGAGCTGCTGTTGAGTTCACAGTTTTCAGACTCTCTCTAAGTTTCCTTCCTCTTGTGCATCAGTCTGAGGTGTAGCTCCTCCCCCACAGACCCCAGCTGGACCTCCTGACCTCTGACCTCATGCTAACACACTAGCTGCTTGTCTGAACATCCGTCAGCAGCGTCAGGTAGAGACAGAGCGACGAAACAATCGGAGCAGATTAGACTCTGATTGGTCAGAGGAGTTTGAGACAGAGGCTGAAGAGAGGAGCTGCAGCGACGGACAGTCTGAGGAACATTAGAACATTAGAGCATGAAAACTTTTCACTGTCACAACACGATGATCCTTCAATAATCGATCAGCTTCTCATGTGAGAATCTTAGTTTCACTTGTATTAAAGGTGACTGATCCCTGAGAATCTGTGTGGATGTTGAATTGATGAGAATTGAACTGTGGAATAAATGTTTTGCTGAATTGACCATGTGAGTCATTGGAAGGTTACTCCAGCTCCACTCAGCCATTTCTCTCTTTCTGCCTGAATAATTAAACACTAGATTTTATCAGGCTGAATACATTCACTTCCTGATCGTGCGCAGCTCGTAGGGTGGTGTTCATGTTTCTACATCACATGGTTCCTACTGATGACTTAGTTAGTATTTAGATTGATGCTGCGGTCAGACAGGCTGTGCTAAGATGAGTGTACTCACTGAGTTTGATTTGAGGGTGAGATGTTCTCCTTCCTGCTCCAGAGTGATGGGTTGAGACTTTAGGGGCGGGGAGAGGGTGAGGTCCCTGTGCAGCGGCCACTCCTCCAGCTCCGCCCCCACATTCAGGTTGTCCAGCATCTGTACGGAGTCCATGGATCCTTCTCTGACCGGCCGCAGGCCTCGGGATCGCAGCCTGTTGTTCTGGGGAGCCGGGGACTGGTGGCCCAGCCCCCGGGACATTTGAGAGTCCGGACACTGAAGCCTCATGTCCACCGTATAGTCATTCATCCGCTCCTCGTCCTGCTCCGTGAGGCGTGAGTGGGCAGGGCTCCACCTAAGGGTGCTTTCAGCAGTCCAGCCCACGGTGAGGCCGTCGAGCCTTTGGTCGAGGGCAGCGTGCTCGTTAAGCTTGTGGTTGGAGGGGTTGTGCTGCTTTGGATGGTGGTTGGAGTAGACATGCTCTCGAGGGTTATAAGTAGAGGAGACGTGGTCCTTTGCATTGTGATTAGAGGAGATATAATCTTGGGACTTGTGATTGGAAGAAGCATGCTCAGAAGTCTTGTGATTGGACATGTTATGTTCCAAGGCCTTGTGATTGGATAAAATGTGCACCTGCGGCTTGTAGTTGGAAGAGGCGTGCTCGCAGGGCTTATGATTGGTGGAAGAATGATCCCATGTTTTGTGATTGGAGGATGAGTACTCCCTTGACTTGTGATTGGAGGAGGCATGCTTGGAGGGCTTTTGGTTGGACAGGGAGTGCTCCCACGCTCTGTAGGAGGAAGCGTGTTCCCGGGACTTGTGATTGGACAAGGATTTCTCCCGTGGTTTGTGGTTGGACAGAGGGGTTTGCTCGTGGCCGTTAATTTGGGCCTCCTGCTCCTCCAGAAGGGAGGGTGTGGTGGAGCGGCTGCTGCCCCCCCGCTCCGGGTACATGTCATCGGTCCAGTTGTCAGCCCCTCCACTCGGCAGGTCCACCCCCCGCCCCTCCACCAACACCTGGATCTCGGCCCCGCCCTGATCGTCCACGGCACTCTGGCGCATGAAGCAAGCATTTCTGGGGCGATGGGCGTGCTTGGGTGGGCTGTGGGGCGGCGAGGTGGGTACGCTCAGCACGGGGCTGAGATCAGGTGTTATCACAGGCGGCGTGGTGTCCGGCGTGCACAGCTCCGGACTGTCTGTTCCCGTGGAGATGACCTCATGGTCTTTGTCCTTGGCGTCCTGGTGCGTGGGCCTCTGACATTCGAGCCCTGTGAAAACAGTTGGAGAGTAGAACCAATGAAACGACTTGGCTCTGATCCACAGTGTGTGTGTGTGTGTGTGTGTGTGTGTGTGTGTGTGTGTGTGTG